CCACACTTTGAAAGCATATGAAAATGCTTTTTTTGTGTCAATATGCCCATAATGAATCTCTCATGGTTTTCACTTGAAATTCTGGGCCTTTTTATATATTTACATATCTTTCCTGTTAAAATACTCTTAAAAGCTTCAAAAATTTAGATATTCTGGCTTCAATCAAATAAAACTTTTCATTTTATCATAAACTTAAATCTTTGGTAAATCAAAACTTAATGCTATTTTGTTTCTAATCAGAAGACAGGCCTCCACCTAACTTCTAATAAAAATCAAAGGAAATTGTTATCTAATCCAGTATTGCATGTAATTACTTATATTTGTGCAGAGCAACTGCAGCTTAAAATAAAAATATCCCATCAATATAGTTGTTTATGTGTACTTTACATTTGTATTTGCAGAGTGTATTTAAATGGGATCAGTTGCAAAACAGCAAGAGTGCATACAGAAATATAGATATGACATTTGAGGTAATCTCTTCCTAGGAAAAATTCCTGCTTTTTAGTGTAAAAAAAAAAAAATATATATATATATATTTATTTATATTATACTCTTATATAAAAATATAAAAGTCTATGATATGTTTCAGCAATGAGCTGATAGGCAAGTCATTGCTGGTTACCTTTCTACGGGGATTTCCTCCCAAAGCTGCTAAGGGCACATACTGTTAAAAAGTCTGACATTAGGGAGTATTGGTATCTGTGAGGGGATGTAGGAAGATTACATGCCAGGGCTTTTGGTTTTGGGTGGGAAAGGACTTTAATGGTTGGTTTGTTTGTTTGTTTCTTTCTTTCTTTCTTTCTTTTTTTGTTGTTGTTTGTTTGTTTTTAAATGACCCAATATTGTAGAAATTGTTAGTCATGTTCTACAAGTTGTGAGAAGTAATGTGAAGTTATAGTGAACCCATCTGGCCAAGCAAGAAAATCTGGCTTAGTTGTTCCATTGCCAGAAATGTTAAATCACTTCCCGGGAATGCAATTCATTTGGACCATATGGAACTCGTTCGAAGAAGGTCCCAAATGAATTCAAAAGTGTACTGGAGATGAGAGTACTTCTCATAAGTAACAACCATGTTTTCCCACTGGACAGCATGTAAGCTGTATACGTAGCTGTACTAACAAAAAAATTAAACCAATAATAGTACTGTCTGTGATGTTGAGCAAGCCCTCCTTACTGTTTACATTATTTAAAAGTTTCAAGAAATGCTATATTCATTTAGGGTTTTGTTCTCAGCTTTTAAGTAACAAAAGAACATTCTGACAATTTTTAGCTCATTTTCTTTCTTTGCCAAGAATAAAAAAGCAAAGCATCTTGATTCAGTAGATTTACACTGTTTAGAAAATATACATAACTGAAAGTACTTTGTGGATAAAGATTTTTAAAAATCTGGGCCTTTATTTTACTGTATTTTTTAATAAAATAGGAAGATTTACAATTTTTCTCTAAGCTAAGCAAATCTAAATCTTTGACTAAAAAAATCCTTAAATCTAAATCCTTGACTAAAACAATGACACGAGTTAAATTCTAAAGAATTAATGAGAAAGACTTGCTTATGTATAGTCTTGACTTCAGGAGAAAATTTTTCATCTTTCATAACTGTTTTAATGGATTCAGAGTTTATAAGTTTACCACCATACCATGTTCTAAGCCAAACAATCCTGTTACTTGCAGTCTTTATGATTGAAAGGATGCTGATATTCCTTTCAAAAAATTGCTTTCTATTCTGTTTTAAGGAAAATATTTTATTTTCATTACTTTTGCTGCTGCAGTAAATTTTTTAGAGGCTTTTTGTTAGTGGTGGTGGTTTTCTTGGTTGGTTGGTTTTTTATTTGTATTCACAAGAATTTGAGAATATATTTGGATCCTGGAAAATATTGCATTATGTGCTGTGTATACAAGTGAGTAACTCACTTCTTTAGTCGGTCAGACCAAATCAGAGAAAACAAGTTTTGCTGACCTTCCAATATTTAAAGGGAGATGGTAAACAGAAAGGAAATCAACTTTTTCAATTGTAGACAGTGATAAAAGGGGGAATGGTTTTGAACTAAAGCTGGAAAGACTTGGATTAGATGTTAGGGGGAAGTTTTTCACTGAAAGTATGGTGTGGTGCTGAAACTGGCTGTCTGGAGAGGCTGTGGTTGCCCCATCCCTGGAAGAGTTCAGTGCCAGGTTGGGTGGGGCCCTGGGCAATCTGATCTATTATGTATCTAGTGCTTGGCAACACTGCCTGTGGCATGGAGGTTGGAACTTGATGATCCTCAAGATCACCTAACCTTCCAACCCAAACCATTCTATGAGTTCTGACTTTAAAAGCACATAAAGGAATTGGAACCATGTTTAGCGGGAAGGGGTGTGGGGAGGGGGGGAAGGGGACCAAATCTGATATCAAGAAGAAAAATGAGGCAATAATACATTTTTATGTATGTAATGCATTGTTGTGGACCTGGAGTAGTGAAAAATGGAAGTCATAAGTACTGTACTATACTGTGCTGTATACTGTACTGGACCACTGTATGAGGTCCTTCTCATAATTATTTTATGTAAACATACTTTACAATGCTACCATTTTGAATATATTTCCTTATATAAGTGTTTTAGTTTGTTTTTTTCTATCCATCCATATGACTCCATTTTGAAATTCTTGCTTTTGTTAGGTTGTGTATTCCATATTGGTTTCTGTACCATCAGTCTTGCTACAAGTTTACTGTAGTTAACATAGGAATTACTTTCATGTGCAAACCTCAATCAGTTTTTACATTAACTGCAACTTAAAGTATTTCTTCATTCTGAGTAAGAGAAACACTAATTTTGTGACAGACACAATTGTTCTGAGGCATGATAGTTCTGTGTATTTCCTGCTATGACTTACCTAGGCTACACCCACTTAAAATTTATATCAACTCTTAGGCCTAGCATCTAACAAATTTACAATAATATATTTTTGGCTGTAAATCAATATGTTTTGGGATTCATCAATTAAGAAAAAAAAAAAAAACAATATATGGGGGAAAAGCAACAACTGATCAGGTTAACAGTGTTTTAAAATTGAAGTTTACTACATGATAAATTAAAGTTTAATAAATTAAAATAATGATGCAGATTATTACTTTATCTACTTTCTCTTTTTGTGGCTATAGCAGTTTAGAAGGTCTCATTCAGATCAGAGACCTTGCCAGTAACTTGCATTACAGCTACAGGCAACATTATTACAATCCAAGAAGTTTGTCATAAAGCTACCATACAAATTACCTTTCTTGCTCATCACTCTTTAATATCCTCATGGAGTCCTACACCTGCTTCACCTAAGTCCACTGAATTAAAGCCTTTCATCCTGACCTTGAACTTTTGACTTTCAAAGGGCCTCCCCAATCAATCTGTTGCCTCTTTCCATGACACAGCTTATGATTTCAGAGCTGACACTTCTTACTGCCACATCAAGTCTCTCTGTGAAGTATTTATTACTGTATATTGTTTATGATTTTACTTTTCTAAATGTTATAAACCATTCTATAGAGCAGGACAAAACAGATCTTAAGACAAATTTTTTCAAAAATTATTTCAAGAAGTCTAAAACTCTTGTGATTTCTGTCCATCACTCCTCTCTTTCTTTTCCTCTGGTGTCGGGAGTAGGAAAATTTTACTGAATAAAATGCCACAAGCAAAAGGGTTGTAAAAATGCAAAGGCCTCTTTGAAAGTAATGCCTTGTATTCACTTCCATAGAAAATTCAACGAAGAACACAGTTTAACATTATTTGATAGAGCAAATTTGCAGCTACAAAGAATTTGCTTTTTAACATAGATACCACCACTAGCTACGCATTTTCACCAGCAATGAAAGAGTCTGTGTGTCACACTCAAAAATCTGTAGGACTATCTGGAATGTGGCTTGTCTTTCACATCACTATCATCTCTGCTGAAGCCCTCAACCTCACTATGCTGATGTCCACTGTTTGGGCTACATAACCATTCAGTAAGCATCGATAAACAGTGGGTCCCATTTTTTCCATATGTAGGAATTTGATGATGCATCTTTACTCCATATGCACTTCCCTGTCAGACTCCATTTTGCAGGCCTCCCCTCAGCTGCCATCTGTCACACAGCAACAAAGCATAACAGAATATTGGAGGAAGATTCAGCCTCTACTGCTGTACCACTAGCACCCATTTCTGACATCGTGGGCCAACATAGCAAATTAGAAGGCATTGCTTTCAGAGCAGCGTTCACAGTACTTTGATTCCCATGGCAGTTCTGTATACATTGCACACCCAATCCCATATTTCATCTGATCTTTCTTACTTCAATCACAGTTGTGCATTCTTTAATTCTATGTGTACCATATAAATTCCATTGTGCTATTAATTCAGCCTATAAACTATTTAATTTAAGAAAAATATAGCATGCTTTTCTTTTAATGTGAAAAAAGTATAATGCCAATAACAATTACAGCAATGTGAAAATATTTCTATTACTTTCCTTTGATATGTTAAACAAAAGATAAATTAATAAAAGAAAAAGAAATAAAAGATAAATAAAAGAATTCAGCATGCTTTGGAAGCATGTTTGAGTCCAAGCTCTGATTTCATGAATTCAATGGTAGAATTATTCTAGACTTCTTAAGTAGAAAGATCTCATCTTCAGCTACAGTTTTCTATCTTCACTCTTTCAGATCTATTCAGTATTCTGGAATTTTGTGGGCTTTCCTAGGATGCATATTTCACAATGAAATCACTGGAATATCATGTTAACTCCATCTCTTCCCTTCTGTCCTCATCCATTTATTTATTTATTTCGTAAGCAGTTATTAGTTTCATAATGGAAAGTCATTCAGATGGCAAATATATGTTTCTAAATATTTTTTACGTTGAGACTTCTGTTGTTTTCAGACCTTCTGGACACTCATAAGTTGAACATTAATATTAAAATGTAAATGTTTTTCCTAAATTCCTTATTTTTTTAATGGTGGCATTTTTTCCTTTTTTTTTTCTTTTCTCCCTCCAGGCTATGCCAGTTATCTCAGAAAAGGAGAAGGCTGGTGAGTAAATGTTTGCTATTTCTTAATATCCTTGTATTTGCTTTCTGAAATACAGCGTTTTTTAACTAACTGGGAAAATAATGTCTTTATCTATGGGATTTTTAATGTACAGGTTTAGAGATCTGTTAAATGTGTAAGCATTATTTATTGTTTCCTGAGTGGGGCATTTCTCTTTCTGAAAAGCGTTCAGATTTCTGTGAGATATCACAGAGGTATCATCTGTGTTTGTTGTTATCTTGCAAAGTACATTATTGAATTGTAGCTATACCTTACATGTCATTCATATTATAGATGTTATTCTGACTTATTTGGTGTCTTGATTAGCAAACACAGGTGCCAATGTGTTGGTTCAAGTTAGTGGGATTGGATGATTTAGTTTGAACTTTGCTATCTGTCTGTAAGTATGGCATGAAATTCTGTTTTTCTGAAGTACTTCACTGGAGATAAGAATTTTTATTTTGGCAAATTTTTTCACAGTATTAAAAGGCCAATTTTCTATTCTTGTATGTTATATGTATTCTGTGAACACTGTACTTTGGTGTTGATATGTGAAATATATTAGTGAGCTTAGTGAAAAATAGAAGCTGGCATTGTTGAATGGATGTGGTGTTGTGATGGACACTCAAGAATGCTCCAGCTTCTGTGGACCTCTGTAGCCTCTGTTGGTTTCTTCACCATGCGTTTTAATTGACAATTTGCAATTGGAGTCTCTGCATTACATCAAAATATTCAAATACCACCCAACATTCTGGGGTTTTCTATTATTTTTGTTGATTATGTTTTCTTGTGTTATCCTAGTTCGTATATTTTATTTTATTTGGCTTATAAAATGGAAGGTATAAGTTAAAAAAAAAAAGTTTTGGAGACAATTTTACTGTAAAAGCTATGGAGCTGTCTGATTGGGAAGCTGCTAATTTAGCTGTTGAATTTCATAAACAGTTCTGAAACTGTGATCAATGTTTAGGAATCATTTCCTATGTAAATTTCACAGATAGTATTATTTTTTACCTCACTGATAAAATGTTTTTGTTATACTGAATATTGCAAACAAATAGAACATAATGTCATATGGAATCAGCTTGCTGACATTTCGCTGTTCTTGAGCACAAACTGGACTTTAAATGGAAATGTGATTGTTTTTTTTTAAAATCAGTAATTATTTACATCAGATTTATCGACTGGAATCACATGTCTGGTGGTAGCTCTTATACTATTTTTGTCAAATGCAATCAGATCAAGACTCAAATGCTCATTTCTCATGTTTTGTGATCTAAATAGCCTTTGATCACTGCTGCTTGTGGATTACCAGATAAATGACTGTCACGGAGTTAACTAGATCAGTTTATGCCCGTGACAGGGGGCAGTAGGCCCCTGCCCTCCCCACCCCCCGCCTGGCCCCACAAAATGGGAAGGAAGGGGGAAAAGAAAAAAACAGCAGCAACAATCTGTGGAGGTAAACTTATTTTACTAACTATGAAAATAATACAATATAATACAATCTAATTGAAATTGAGACTAATAAATCAAATAAGATATGAGAGAGAGTTCCCGAGACCAAGTCAAACCTGAAAAAAAAAGCTTGGAACGGCTAGGAAAGCACCCTCCAGCACCCACTGCCAGGCAGTAAGACACCGCCCCCCCCGGAAGGGTCAGATCCCGTGACTTCCGTAATGTATAGGGATAGGTACGTAGAATTAGAGCATTAACACTTTAATTCCAGTACATGATGTTTTGATGTGGAATATTGAAAATCAAAAAAACAAAACCATGACAATGACATTACCCAGAACTCACGAAAGACCAAGCCATAAGTAAGGTGTGAAGACGCTCACAAAATAGTGACATATTCTCCTGTAAGAGAACAAAACAAGTACTTTTTTTTGATATTTGAAAACATGAGCAATTGAACTCTTTTTAGTTTATATTATTACAAACTAATTAAAGAAAATTGCAGAACGAAAAGGCTGGTTTATTTCACTATTGACAGTGCAAAGACCTCAAAGGTAACAAAATTGGATTGTGTTTTATTGGTTTTAAAGTGCATCCAAAATGTCAAGTTGAACATCATCTCTGATTTTGAGGATTTAATGTAGTTAGCAATTACTTGTTTCCTCTTTCCTATCTAATATGGTTTCATCTAGGACAGGAATGAGAAATTCAAAAAAGTAGCAAGTCTACTATCTCAGTGTTTCTGGTTCCGAAATTCTAGATATACAAATGAATACCTGTTTTCACAAGGCTTCCTATTCTATAAATTCCAGATGGCTTTCAATGCTTTTCCAATAGGCAGCCAACCTTTAGACCCTTAAGTGGACCAGTCTGCTTAAGCAACTTACTTCACACATTATTGACTATTTTATAATAATTTTTAATCATTGAAATTAAGTATTTTCTCAATACTACGCATTTTCCACCCTACACTAAATTTAGGCTACATCAAATGCAAATTTTCAGGGGGGAAAAAAAACCACCAAAACCTCAAAAACCAACAACTTTGCTACTTTTGTCAGTTAGTAATTCAAGAGTTGCATGACTTAACTGGCATTTTTCCCCCCATGGAAAGTGCAGTAAAATCTGCAATTGCAGAATCCCCTTGGCAAAAATCTATAAATGACTAGAGTATTGAGCAGAACATCAGTCATGCCTGACGTTATTGCTCAAGTTGTGTGAGTTGGGGCATTGCAAATGATGTACATCAGATATTTTTCAGAAAGACTTCTTAAAAAAGCATCAACATTGTAACACCTCTGGCAATAGTGGAAAAAAATCAATCCTTCAAAACAACTCTTTTAAAGTAGAAGATCAAGCAACAAGCACAGTCAGGGAAAATGATGGTTCAAGCCAAAAGATGACTCAGGGCTAGGACTATTAGCACCTAAATCAAAGTTGTGTGCCAGCAACGAAGTTCAAAACACTGTTTCTTTCTGATGCATCTCTTTATTTTGGATAATTTTTTGTATTCCCGTACCTTTGCTTACCTTGTTTACAAATTACTGTTGTAATTTTTATTCTCAAATTCTGTCCGCAAGCTATGATGAAATTTGAGAGAGGGAGGTTTCATTGCACCTGTCTATAATTAGAGTGTCTGTGTCAGTGCTAGTGGTCTTGGCTTGATTTATAGCCTATAAAAATAATAATCATAGAAACCCTTGGTTCACCTGGCTGAATATCAGCATTTGCATCATTGATGTGACTCACACTTTAAACTACATAAATGGTGTCTGCTGATTCTACACTAGCTGGATAGTCAGGATGGGTCCTGCAACAGATACCAATATTCACTTACAATGAATTACCACTCTGAGGCCCTATTCAGGGCTAACTTCATTTTCTGGAACCATGTTCCCAAAGGTGAATTGACTATACATGTTGCCTTGTCTGTGTCTCTTTGTGGACCTACTTCATGATTGCCCAATTTATCCTCAAATATTTGAAGAGAATAATGAACTCTGTTGTGACTTACAAACATTACTGTTCTAACAGAGCCAGCAGGAGGAACAGGGTGAATATACACATCTGGTTAGAGACTGAACACAGCTTATTTCTCTTGAGGTGGTAAAACTATGTGCTATCACATAAACAAGGCAGCAGGTTTAGTCTAGCCCTAAATAAACATTAACACCACAGGTCCATGATATTCAGTATTATAACACATTTTTCCTGTGCATAAAACAAGTGCCCTGCGGTGTTCTGGTGGAACAGATTTTTAGCATATTAAAACAAAATAAGGTCTTTGAAGTCATTGAATTTTAGCTCTTAAATATAAAATTGGATCAGTGTAAGAATGCAGAATATGTAAATTTCATAAAAGTGTACAAAATTAACACTACTCATTTCTAGCAGTAAAAAATTCATAGCAGAACAGCAAGACACTACTAGGAGTTTAACTGATCCTACCAATATACTCCCTCTTTCTTTTAAGATGTATTCTGGAAAAAGTGCACAGGTTGTTCAGGTGAATATCACCATGTGGTTCCTTCACCTCAGCACTTCTAGCATAGGGAGGTCTACCTTGACAAAAATAAAAGTGTCAGTCTTTGAGGTTAGTTAGAACAGATTTGACAGCCCATTCCATGGTCAATAAGCAAGCAAGAGGACAAAGTATTAACCATCACTAAAGACATGAAATCTCTGTCTGATGTGAAGAGTTTGAAAGTTTGTTGGCGTTAGTGTTTTAATATGGGCCTAGCAGTGAACAAGGTTCACTTATTTTTCTGCATCCCCTTTAGATTTCTGGTAATGATCCTATTTAATAAAGTATAGATCCGGTGTTTTTTGCTGTTCATTTCCCTTTGCTTTGCAAGGAAGAAAAATACACAGATGATAAAAGGGCCTTTAACTGCGGGCTGTTTCCTCTGGCAGACTCTAACTGTCAGTGTCAGGCAGCAGAGGACACTTGGTGTTGATCACATAGTGAGCAGAACTGCAGAGCATAGCGTGATGGAGTGATGACAAGATGGCTCAGGCCTGTCTGTGAGAACTTGCAGCAGGAAGACCAGGGAATTCAGTAGCGACACGTTCACTGTCAGTAAACAAAGTGTGTAAAGGACCAACTGTTTGGCACACCAGTAGAGATATTTAATTTAACTATAGCTCTAATGAAAAAGGAAAAAGCTAAAATCTCTACTAGATTTTATAAGCATGCTCTATATTCAGAGACTGCTTTTACTCCCTTGCAGCTGGCTGTGATTGAGAGTACAATTTTATTTTATATTTTTGTCTCCTCCTATACACAGATGAAGTTTTTAACAGTATTGTTTTTTTCCTAAGGTGCACAAAATTCTCTTATCAGCAGCACCCACTGGATGCTCTGTTTTCATAAATTCATTAAAGTTCATCTTTACATAACTTACTTAAAACCCAGATCAAACTTATTGGCCATGGGATACCAGTTTCCATACAAAGAGGAGAGAAACACAAGTCAGCTCTCACAGTTATTATTAGTCTTCTGGCTAATTTACAATATCTCCAGCCAATATTCTTAGAATAAAATGTGCAAAAGAATGTTTTTCCTTTTTGTAAGTATTGTATCTGGTTTTCGTAGAACAATTTTTTATTAATTACTGTTTTCCTGAGACCTTAATATGGAGTACCTTTATATGGAGTTCTCAGCTAAGTGATTCTATGATTCTATATTATAATTCCATTCTATGAATTATGATTGTTCTTTTACTGTTGATGTCGAAACAGATATATGAATTGTTCTAGCTGAATGTTTGGTTTCTAAATAAAAATGTCAGGTGAGCTTTCATGCTTCAATCTGTCATACTGAAAAACAGCTACGGAAATGCTGCCAGAATATGCATGGACGTTTGCCAAACTCTAACAAATGCCGATAGATATATCTATTTCTATTCCACTGTCCCTTATTTCATTACTAAAAAAAGGTTAATGATACTAATGTATACAGAAAGTTGGCATTTCCTTCTCAGATTCCTGATCAAGTTTAGCTGTTGGATTTTCTTTATTTTTCTATTTATAGCAAAATAGCAGGTGTCACGATCTTTTGAAGCTGATTCTTAGTGGTTTATTAGTTGCCTGCTACTGTAGTTGTTATGCTGAATCAATTACTTTACTTTTAAATTATGCATATCCTGCTCAGGGTGTGCATGTGGATATAAGCACATAGACTTTAAAATGCTTGTACCAGTGTCCACAAAAACAAAAACTCATTAATCTTAAGATGTCATGACAATTTCTATCATGTTTTGGTGGTAATGGTAGATCTGGGAACAGGTCTTTCCTATAAAAATCATTTTAAACCATTCTAAAGTTAAGGGAAACAGTGT